TTTTATAATTGTTTCCGTCATTTTGTTGTTTATTCATGGAGGTAGTTTTGGTCATGTGATTATGACTGATTCATCTCGTAACCGGTTGTCACCTTTCGACTGAAGTGATTTATGTTTGGTTAATCGATATTGGAAAGTTGAAATGAGGTCATTAATAAAAGAAAGGATGTACAATAGTTGTAGGATTTAGGATTTCTATAAAGATATCGATGTTTTAGGCGATTTCATTGCCAGCTTCACGAAAAGCCTCAAGACAAGATAGTCGACGAGTTTCTTTAACTGATGAGCAGACGTTCCGCTTAAAGCGTAAGTTTGACTAAATGTTTCTACCCCGATCTTACCTGCTTTTTTCTCCAAATTCGCCTAAATTTACTTTCAACACCACCTTTTTTTATTTCTCTTCATTAAATTCTAATTTTTTCTCATCAAGTTCTCAAGTATAACACTCTCTTGAATATGGGTTTTGCCCTTTTAGATTATGGGGAACATGTTCTGTGTTTGGTGGAAGTTTTTATCAAATTTTCCATGGTCACTTTAACATTCTGTTTAACCCTTCGATATTCCTTGTTCTTCTCTAGGATTACTGTCGGACATCCAAGAAATGGATACGATCCACAGCCAATATGGAGCGCAACCAGATAGTCGCGAATCACCCGCACTTGGTCGTCAAAGTCAAGGCTCACCGACCAGCTCCGGAAAACAGACACCATCATCGGATGGAAAATCCGATGATGCACAAAAAACTACTGATGAACCAGCGCCTGTGCGAAAAACAGCAGGATTGTCACCGAGAAGAAGCACTAGCGAATCATCAGGCGAGCAATCACCGTCCATTGCGACAAAGTCACGATTCACTTGCACGAAGGTCGAGGAACCGAAAATCATCTTTCCATCGCATCATGGTGAATACATGTTCAGAAGACTGTTCATGCGGAAGCATTAGTAACTAGTTAGACTTAGGTACACCTGCTTTAATAGAATAGTATTCTGCATGATTGCATGTTTGAGCTTGTAGCTTTAGTGACTTTTTCTGCTACTAAATCTAACCCTACTAACTAGTAGAGGCACCGTCACCTTATCTCTTAATCTTTCATAGCAGCGAAAAAAAGGTGCTTTTGCGATTTACCCATAATGCTATCATATAGGAAGAGGTATACTTAGCTATAGTAGAGAATTTTACTTTACTAGTACTATTGAATCTCTGCTACTCCTTCTGAATGTTTTGGCTTGTCTCATGAGACATCGTTTAACAACTACAGTCAAAGAAAAAAAA